TGTGTGTGTGTGTGTGTGTGTGTGTGTGTGCGAGCATGATAGATCCAATACCTGTGGGCACACCAACGGGAAGTCTTACGTGCATACACTTTTGTTTGTCTCTCTCTCTCTCTCTCTCACTGTGTGTGTGCTTGTTCACATGCCTAGTACCGATATGAAATGGTACCGTTTTGACTAAAACGACCTGTGTCTGTCTCCGGTAACCAAGATTGTTCCTCAGATCGAACAAACAAGCGAATGCGCGAATGCGAGATTTTCAGCCCCCGGACTTTGATAAATGACTTCTCCCGTTTCGTCCACCTTTAATCTCTCGCCCTTCCCCAAAATCTCGGGGGTTTCTGCACCATAGCCGGAGATTAAAGATTCCCAGCCTGGGGGTGGATAGGTATGAGTAAGGCGGTATAGATGCATATTTGGTGATGTCTGAGAGGAAAAGAAAAGCCAAAGTGGTCAACAACTGCAATCGCATTCATTCTATAGTGGTTTAGGGTTCCCGGGTGGAGTGTGGACAGGATTGAGGCACAACGGCTGGGAAGTTGGTTACCAATTTGTGTTGCAAAGCTGGCTAATGTTCCATTCCAACATATGTGACCAGTACGCATGCACCATGAACAGAAAAAATACAACTTTTCGTCGTTTCTTTTCAACTACTTAACTTTTCATCTATTTTGGATGTGAATATTCACATCCGACAGTTTCATTCCCGTTATATTTGTGCACACACAAGAGCTCTGGTTCCTGGCCGCTTTGTCTTACCAACCACAGATTAGCTTCAGTGAGAACGCCTAATGATAATTTTTGCGATGACGGACGGTGTATTCGGAGTGGGACCGATGAAGAGAACGGAATTCGCCTCAAACCATACTTCTCTCTTTCATCTCCCCAACGAAACCAGTATCAGAAGCAATACCAACAGAGCATTTTCCCGCCTTACGGTGGTTCAGAAATTTGCTATTTGCTACTCGGGCAAACTTGACGAAAAATAGATTGAATAGTTCAGTATGAAAGTCGTTGCTTCTCACTCACGATTCCTTCACAGCCATATTCACAGCAAATAGCTACAGTTGGGATATATGCTGTTCGAGTTTCGCTGAATTTGAACAAGTACTGCTGAATGAATTTTTCGCATTAGAAATACCTTAACAACAGGGGTACAAATAATGTTCAACCATGAATATGAGATCCAAATTCTCCAATTCAAAAAAAGTGTAGCTGTCAGATGTTTCTTTAGTTGATATGTCATGTTCACTCTGTATTAACATTTCCTAACACGGAATGTTCGTTTGAAAACCCAGTTTTGGCCTTCAGTAGGGCAAGACCACAAGACGGACGGAGGCACATTAGACAATGACGAAGTGCTTAGACTTCTGCTAATATTTCACTCAAACTTTTCAATGGAATTTAAATGATTGGTTACTAAACAAATTGACCGATGATCTGCATTACAGAATAAATGGACCTGCAGATTCAGCATCCTGTCCAATGAAAGTACTTCAAATTTACCGACTTGTTCCTCATCGGAGATAAGTCAGCCGAATGTATCAGGTTTCCACTAAATTGTTCGAAATCGTGAACATTCTGAGATACACTCGATCAGATTTATCGGGAACCAGGAATCTGCCCTAGAACATAAAAATATTTCCTTTCGGCCAACAGGTCTTGCTTTAGTGTTAGACTAGAATTGTGGGTGTTCTTATGTGGTCTACAAGCAGTTGGGATTTGCTGTTACAAATAGATCAGTGGCAATCAGTCACGGTATTCACCATTGCAACTGATCAGTCGTGATCGCTTCTTCAGTGAAATCATGTCCATAGACGTTTATAAAACTTATTCTTTTGACAAATTATACATATAGCCTTTACAGGTGCATTACCTGTGATTGACATACATCATTTTATTCACCTGGAAGATTATGCACCCGAAAATTGATGAATCCTTTTACCATCTCATTCGGCTTTTTATCTTGCTATTGTCTTAGAGTATTTAATTCCTCGCAGTGCTTGAATAGATCAGCTTAAATGTGTAGAGCTTATTCTGCCAATAACAGATGTACGATTGTAAATGTTTTTTCTAATGGATTGCGCTATCCGTACCTCGTAGATAACTATCACTCAATATGCGATCAATCTTGGAACACTCACATTACAGCCCTCACCTCCAATTACGGTGTGGAATAATCCATCTCATTGATTGAGTAATCACAACCGATGTTCAAGATTGTAGATGCATTCACTGAAGCGGATGTCTGAAGAGGAGCGGGAATACAAAGACTGGAATGGAACCGTGTAGATACTCAGTTACTATCGACGCGGAAATTCTGGTACTCCAAATGTTGTCATATATCAGTGAGATGAAAGAACAATTCTATGTAAGGTTGAAGTCGAGGGTGCGATTTCTCTTGACCAAGCAGATGTTTCTTCAATGTGATGAAATGGATTTTCCTCACAGTATAAACATTGCCTTGTCTGTGTGCTTATGTGTGTTCTTGCATGTTGCGATTAAAACCGTGTATGAACGCGATTTATTGCATAGAAAAAGGAGTTTAATGGGACAAAGCTGATCACCATCGTTATTATCAATAAAAAGAGACACAGTTTACTCGATGTGATCTACTTATAGTCTTTACGTCTGCATTGTTGTTATGCAAAAGTGTTGCAAAATAGAAGAGGGGACTTGGAAATATTTAGAGTCTATAATGAATCATTGTCCGTGTTGCTCCCATCGACAAATCTGACACATAATTTTGAATAAAAATAGCCTGTAATATGATGGAGTCATTGCGGTAGCTCTGAAAGTGTAAAGCGAAAGACCCAGTCAGGAATTTGGGGCCGCAAATGGGAAGATGAGAGAGTGGATTCGCTAGCTTATTTATTGTGTGTATAGGCCGTAAGACGCGGATGTACTTAGAACAGCAACCAGGGAATTGAGATTGATCGAAAAAATGCAAAGTGCTGAATTATCCATCAATCAAATGGAGCGTGTTACACCCGTAGCGAGGTGCATTCCACCAGACTTGAAAAGAAAAGCATTGAATAACGAGAACAGTCTTTTTGCACTGATTTCGCTTCGAATATGGTCAAGGCGCATGAGTAGCTAATCAGAGTGTGCACTTCCATACTTATGAAACGAATTGAATGATTTTCAAATAAAAGGAACGACTGAGCATGTGACAATAAAGCCCCTTGTGATACGGTAAGTGAAAGATGCTATTTACATGATTGTTGATAAACTAAAGGCAATCAAAACTCACAAACTGAGTAGAGACTTCGATATTAACAAAATANTTTTGCCTGTTCGCCGAGCTTGGCAATTTGTTTGCAAACGTTTCATCACCAGCCGAGGTGACATCATCAGTGCTTGTGAAGTGGCCACTTCACAAGCACTGATGATGTCACCTCGGCTGGTGATGAAACGTTTGCAAACAAATTGCCAAGCTCGGCGAACAGGCAAAATGGACTTCGATATTAAAACATTCGAGGAGATCAACAGCATCCGTGAGTTTCAAGAAGGTTTTCAAGCTTTTTCCGGAATGGTACATGATCGAACCGAATCCATGAGCAGTGCTCGCTTCCCTGCGACCAGGTTGTGGATACGGAGTTTTAGAAAAAACTGAGCGTTTTTTATCGGTACATACAATAGTTGGCTTCGCCAAGTTTGGGAGTTCGATCACATATTTGACCGAAATGAAAAGGAGTAGAGCCCGGTAGACTCAATGCGGGGCATTGCTAAGAAAAATAGAGGTCCACGTTTACCGTTGACTGGCCCCATTACTATTTGCAACGGGTTTT